ACAGTGCAATATATTATTTCTTTCAGGTAACATCTGAGAATTTCCAATTTCCATATCCTTTCTTTACTCATGTATATATAAGATACTGCTTCACATTTTAAGCGATGTAATGGTGAAAACCTCATGGTATTAACACATGCCTAGCAACATACTAAACTAAATGTCCTTGAAAAGTATTGTACTTATGTTTATCTGACTTATGTCTTATTTATTTTGGCAATAAGATCTCTTTGTGAACAGAATGCCATGAAGCCAAGGATATATGGCTTGAAAATTCTCTGTGCTGTATTTTATGGGGAAACAAATGAGAATAGTAAAATAAGAGAGATGTCACAACATAGATTCTGATTTTTGATAAGGAAACACAAATACCAACTTAAAAGCATTTAGGGCAATTATTTTTGAAGCCACTTCTGGTAACAACATTCTATCAGTCTTCTGTTTCTCAAAAGAGTGAGAGGAATATAATGAGATGTGTGAGATTCATTTAAAAATAATTTACATTTGGATTACTACTTTTCAGGTTGCACGCATTCAACCATTTTATACAATAAAGCATTGATTGTTTTTCTCTATTGTATGTCTTGATCACATAATTTAAAACCAAGAAGTTTCTAAACATGATCAATAAGTCAGCATTAAGCTCAAACTCACCTTTCTTTAGCGTTTCCGAGAGAATGTGGAGGAATAAGGACATGAAAAAACATACTAGTACAATGATTATGAGCATGGATTTTTTGACTCAAAGTACCCTAGGTTTAATTTCTAGTTCTAGGCCATGCTGGTGATACCTACTAAGTTATTAAACCTCCTTGTGCCCAAATTCTATAAACCAAATAAAGCTGTTCAAGAGTTAAATACAATACTATATGTAAAGTGCTTAGTATAGACAAAACAATTCTTAAAGGTCACAATTTTCAGCAGATTGTCTACTGAGCCAGATTGAGTATCCCAATTCTAAAAGAGCATGTCAAAATTATCTACTAGCTTAATTTGACCATATAGAATATTGGACAATTTTTTGGAAAGTAATATTTCTACATTTTTCTACAAAATAGCCAGATTCATTCATCTTAAATTTATATTTATCTTAAGTATAACCTTTTTCAGCATAATCCATTTTATGAGTGTTGATGATACTAAATGGTCTATTTGTAAATACTGTAATTGAAATAAAAATATTTTATTTATACCTCATTTATACTTGATTTTATATATCATTTATAGATATTCCCAGATCGGAGGTAACTTAAAGTAGCTAAGGTTAATAGGTAAATTCTGATTCTTCTCAACAGTATAGAACAGAATACAAACATTTTTAGAGTACATGAAGTTGAACTTTTATTTGGAAAGTTGAATTTCATGTATAATGAAAATATTTTTAAACCATACATATTCATAAGCATAATACAAACACCACCTACAATACAAACACATTTAATAAAGTTCTACTATGAATATTAATCTAAGTCAAAGGAAAAGGTAATCAGGTGAATCTGTTCTACATACCTTTTATCTCTTTCGATGATGTAATTAAACAATTTAAGGTACAAAACAAAGTAAGTTTTGGCTGAACCCTACTTATTTCACTACAGGAACACTGGGATATATACTACCACAGGTTACAAACCCAATTCCATTATAATCAATTTAAAAGTGTTACAACGATCATATCTTAATGGCATGTAAACATATTTAGGGTTTCAATTGGCAATTATGTTTTAAATGCTTAGAAAAACACACCAACATTTCTCATTATTGTCTTCTCTTTAGCTTATCTCTTCCATGAGTATAAAATAGGGAAAAAAAATATTATTTGAGACTTCCAGCATAATTTCATTGTGCTCTACATTTTTATAAACATGGGTACATCTAAAATATCGATGCCTTTATACCAATAGAATAAAACCACCAAATTCACATTTTTCTTATAAATAGGCATGTAAAATTAGTGGAAAACACTTTTGTATAGCAAAGACCCTGCTTAATTTTCTTCTGATTAATAATTTTCAATGACATGTGCAAATCATACTGTTCATTGAACAGTAGACATTTTATTTTCTGTAGATTTGTTTTTCTATAAAAATATATTTATGTGCTCACAGGAAAAAAGTTGAGTTGGTGTGTGTGAGGTGACTTTTAGATACATAATTAGATTAAAGGTTTGTTTACGAAGTTAAAAGGCATCTTAACTTTTATCATTTTCAAATTTTTCTTCATAAAAAAGAACACCCTGTGACGAAGATAAGGTAACTGAGATGATCATTAGCACTTTAGAATTGAGACAGTTTGAAGCAAAGGAGTTAAGCATCTAGCCTAAGGTTTATGTACAAAATCAGTGCTGGAACCAGGAAGAGAACTTAGACTTTCCCACCCTTGGACAGCTCTCTAGGAACTCATCCTCATCAACCACCTTTGAGATTATATACAACCTATTATGTTAAAATAATATTGACAGTAAACTAGAGAAAATTAGTGTAAAGCCAATTAAGAACAAAGTTCTAAGTATAGGCTGCTGCCTTATCACTTAGTGGGCATTTTGCAATTAATTATCACCCATTTATAATCACCATTGTACATCATGGGTTCTGTTACTCGCTATTTGAGGGAAAAGAATGAAATCCATTTTAACTTACTTGGATCTTTGCTTTTTCATTTGAAGCTTATTCTGATTCATAAAACATATGTATAATATAATTTCACAATTAAAATCAGGTACAGTCCTGGACCGATTCCTTCTGTGCTAAAGATTCCCAATAGAAGCCAAATAATATGAAAAAAGGTAATAGTGATAGGAAAAGGTAGTCATAATCCAACCTCATTTTTCATATCTGTAAGTTTTTACCATTTAGAAAACATAAATAGGAACACCCTTGATTCTCAGACAACTGAAAGAAAACACTGAGGTATAGGAAGAGCAAATATTTCAGTCTTTGTGTTAACTTGTGACTCAAAGATTATTAAATTTCTAATGAATTTACTCCTAATGTTTTTTTTTTGACATTATTTCCAACCTGAATGACTCTTTTCAAACCGCTCTTTGGCTGATGACAAAGAAGAGAATATAAAATGTAGCAGAACTAAACTTGCAAGTTCCAATCTTTCCCTCGTCAGTTGCTGAGCACCCCAACTTCCTCCCAGATAAATCCAAACATGATGACTGTTTCTGCAGAAAAGTCACACCTTAGAAATCAGACGTGGATGGAGCTCAAGTTGCCCTGATGGATGTGTGGTTGGAGGACCAAGATGCCTTCCTCCTTTGATATGCTTACTTCCAGGAGTGTGATCAAATCCTGAGCCCATGAAGTATGGTGTTAAGTAAGACATTCTTTCCCTGCCTATGCATTTTACAGGATATGTGATATTAAAAGGACAATTAGATATTCCATGAGCATTACTGCATTGGTCATTATAAATGCCCCTAATTTTGGTCCCCAAGAAATATAAGGCATCACATAAATCAATGCTGAGGATTTAACAGTATACACCAATAATTACAGTTCAAAAAATAGAGTAAAATATGTGAGTCGATTTCACTTAAACACAGTTAAGAATTTCAGGGTAAGGTTAAAAAATGTTTCCATAAAATGAAAAGTTGAACACAACTTTACTGATACATATGCACAATCCTTCATACTGGTTTTAAAACAACTCGATGTACAATTTTAAAAGGACCAACAGCCCATGTACCAGGAAATGAATTCCCTGAATTTGTACTCACGTTGACAGAAGAACATAGGGGGAAAAAGTCTCACCATAAAGATCTTTAAAATGTGATATAGGCAAACATACATATAGGAATTTCTACTGTAAACAGTTTTTCTTTGTTGCGGGGTGGCTGGGGTAGGAGTACACTCAATAAGAAAAACTTATTTTGAAAAATATGAAAACATTTCCCTCAATAATCATATGATATTTTATTTTGAGACTGTTGAACAAAGCAATAGAAGAACAAAATCCAAGTGCTTTATACAAAGTCTTCCATTTTGGAACCTCATGTTATTGGTTGTAGCTCTGAAATGATGAAAATGGTATCTTACTATATACTCTAGCTGTACACACATGCCTGTTAATGTTCTTTTTATCACTTCAAAATAAAACACATCTATATTTTAAATTGTGTAAATATTAACAAAATATGTACAATGCATTCATGAAATATATGCAAGCATACCATTATATAAACATAGAAAAAGGTAAAAGCAGTGAATTTAGAAATGAAGATATTAAATAGATACAGCTATTATAATCCAGAACAATGGATACCTTATGCTTATCCTTTAATAAAATAATCTTCTGACCACTGCTTCCTTTGCAGCTAAATGTAGTCTAAGGAAAAAACAAAAAACAAAGATGCTTGTGTATGTTGTCATAACTGATACAAATAAAAAAATTCATGTTGAAACTGAGAAAATTATAATTCTGTTTACACATGACCATCTCTGGGCAAATAGTTAGGAGCTCAATAAATACTAGTTGATTGTTTACCTAAGATTTTTGCTACTAAAATTTAAATAATAAATTTAGACTGTATATATTCAATGAACTGTTTTAATAAGACATTCATATTCCTTTTTACATTTTAAATAACCAGTTTGCCTATGATCTTTTAACCTGCAGTGAAGCAAAGTCACTAAGACAGTTCTCAGAGACTGAATACAAACGTGCATATGGAGATAACCCACAAGGTAGCAACAGCTATGCGAACACATTGAACAGTTAAATCAGGCAAATAGGGAGTACACTGAATGGGTACTTTGTATTCCATTGCAGCAAATCTAAATACAGGATTGGTTTTGTGTTCTGCATTTTGAGCACCGGAAACAAAAACAAAAACAAAAATGAAACATAGGCTGGAAGGGCTTGGTATTTTATGTTTTGAAGGCAGTGCTATTTTCTCAACATAACTGCAGGTTGTTGAATTTTGGATGAAATCTTCAGCCAACATGTTTCTATTCCTATATGAAAGTTTTTGCTCCCTTGAACAGATACATATAGAAGGTTGAGGTGAACCAGGAATGTGGCTTACACAGGTTGTGTTTATGCTCGGAGTGGAAAAGTTGCTGTAGAACTTCCATTGCTTTCAACAGATCCTTTCTCCTTGGATCCGGCATATGCGCCGATAAATGATCCATCTTCATTGAAGAGGGCATGCTCTCCTTCTCCGTACTCAACCAAGCTGTCGGCACTTTCTGTGGCCTGAATATTCCTATTAAGGGACCGAAGGCTTCCTTTGAGAGGTTTTTCATCACTGTCACTAGAAAACAAAAAGAATAGTTTAACAAAATCTAATATTCATATTCATATAAAGCAAGACTCATTTATAAGTGCTAAAGTCTTATAATTTTCAGGACATTCATATTAGCATTGAAGACAGATACATAAAACTCAAATGACACGTCCACAAATAAATGTTTAAAAAGTCATAACCAATTGGTACATTGTGGGTAATTGAGAAACAATTTTCTATTATTCACAATTTTTCTGCTTCCCTTTAAAATTAGCTTAGCTTTTGTGGGACCTGTGTAGATTCAACCTGTTGACATCCATAGTGGCTCCTCTGGTCTGAATGCCTGTGTTCCCACAAAATGTATATGTTAAAACCTGGTCCCCAGTGTGACAGTGTTAGGAGGCGGAGCCTTTAGGAAGTGATTAGGCCATGTGGGTGGAAGCCTCATGAACGAGATTTATGCCCTTACAGAAGAGGCCCCACGTGTGTTCCACCATGTGAGGACACCGCGAGAAAGTGCCATCTATGAACGAGAAAGTGGACCCTCATCAGACGCTGAGAATGTCGGCAATTTGACCTGACACTTCCCAAACTACAGAACTGTGAAAAATAAATTTCTGCTGTTTCTAAACCACCCATTTGATGGTGTTTTGTTTTAGCAGCCCTAATGGACTAAGACAGAAGACAAATGTTATTTCCCCTGCTTTCATGAACTTTCAGAGTTCCCAGACCACATGTCTTGATCTTCTGTCTTTACTTTTGATCCTGGAGATTCTCCCATATCCTTCTAAAAATATCTCTTTTGTTTAGGTTAATCAACCATATTCTGTTTCTGGAAAACCAAAGAACTTTCTTTAATATAGTTGACAAACTCAAGTTTGTTAAATTAAACAAAAAGATGTAATCCTAGCTCTCTGGGAGGCCGAGGCGGGCGGATTGTTTGAACTCAGGAGTTCGAAACCACCCTGAGCAAGAGCGAGACCCCGTCTCTACTAAAAATAGAAAGAAATTAATTGGACAACTAAAAATATAGAAAAAATTAGCCGGGCATGGTGGCGCATGCCTGTAGTCCCAGCTACTCGGGAGGCTGAGGCAGGAGGATCGCTTGAGCCCAGGAGTTTGAGGTTGCTGTGAGCTAGGTTGACGCCACGGCACTCTAGCCCAGGCAAAAAAAAAACAAAAAGAAATGGCTGGCATTTTAAGAACATAAATAATATGAGTATACTACATTTATGGGATGGGTTTTATCCTTTAACAAAAGCAACTCTGAGTTAGTAAAAAATGCCTATCCAATGATAAAATCTTCTAAATTTTTGATCAAGATTTTTTTAAGTCCCCACTAGTATTACATGATGAAGCTATACACCAAATAAAATGATCTTAGAAGATTTTCAAAAAGAAGACTGGAAAAAATATAATTAAAATGTATATAGCACTTCATAATATGTGATATTCATCAGTGCAATTCATCCAATGTATCTGGCTCTCAGCTTTCTGGGAACATGGCAGGGTGATGCTTTCCCGCCCACTCTGAATTACATATCAGCATTTAACTTGCTTTGGCCGAAAAAAAAGTGAGCAAAGGTGACGTATGTCACTTTCAAGTGGAAGGTTTAAAGCCAGTGCTCAATTTGCCATGTTCTGCTTCCACTGCTGTGGTGACCCTGCTTCTTCATCCACTAGCCAGTGCTCCTAAGTGACTAAGATGATCAGAGAAATCTGTGTAGGACACATAACTACACACGACTTGAGAAAGAAAAAGCTTTTAGAGTTGTTTCTGACAGAAGCGTAACACAAACTATCCTGACTGACACAGTGATTGGCTCTAAAATTAGGATATTGCAGTTATGAAAACAAATCAAGAAAAAAGATGCAGCATTGGCTTAAGAGCCAGCAACAAGCAGTAAAGAAGAATAATGAAAAAACGATCATCAGAATCTAGAAGGAGGAAGGCTCATGTTGTGCAAGGGCCCAGCATCTGGTAAAACTGTCTCCTGGGATAACAAGGAGAAGAGACAATTTTTCTGATGAACGTGTAGTTTGGGGAAAGAGGTTGGAAAACATGAATTACTTTAAAGGAATATCGTGAAATAATGCAGAGGATGATGTTACCTATCTTTTTAAATAAGCAGCGGAGTATGGAGAAATGAGTTTCCAGACAAGGCATTGTTTTAGTTTTCTTGCCTATAAAACTGAACTAATATGAATTGTCTTTCAAAACTATTTTGAAAAATTGTTGAAGGTCCTCAATGATCCTTGCCTCATGGAATTTGAGCCCTTCCATAATCTCCTTCCTTTGAATGTGGGTTAAACTTATCGACTCCCTCCTATAGACTACAATAGAAGCAACGAAATAGCCCTTCCAAGATTAGATTATGAAAGGACTATGGCTTCCAACTTGGATACTCTCTCTTGCTCGCTCACTCTGAAGAAAGCCAAATGCCATGTTGTGAAGTACCCTATAAAGAAATTCACATGGTGAGCAGGTGTGGTGACTCACGCCTGTAATCCTAGCATGCTGGGAGGCCGAGGCGGGAGGATCCCTTGAGCTCAGGAGTTGGAGACCAGCCTGAGCAAGAGTGAGACCCCGTCTCTACTAAAAATCATAATAGAAAAATTAGCTGGGCATCGTAGCATGTGCCTGTAGTCCCAGCTACTTGGGAGGCTGAGGCAAGAGGATGGCTTGAGCCCAGGAGTTTGAGGTTGCAGTGAGCTATGATGATGCCACTGTGCTCTACCTGAAGTGACAGAGTGAGACTCTGTCTCAAAAAAAAAAAAAATAAAGAAAGAAAGAAAGAAACCCATCCCACATGGTATAGAACTAAGGATGACCTCTGGCCCGTGAAGAACTGAAGCTTCTTGTTTCAACAGTCTGTACAGAACTAAATCCTGCCAACAGCCATATGAATGGCCTAGGAAGGAGATTCTGCTCCATCTGAGCCTTTAGATGAGACCACAGCCCTGGTCAAAGCCCTTCTGCAACGCCCTCGTGAGAGCCCCTGAATCAGAAGCACCTAGCTAAGCCATGTCTGAATTCCTGACTCATAAGGACTTTGAAATAATAAACGGTCATTGTTCTAAGCTGTCAGGTTTTGGGGGGGTAATTATTATGAAGCAACTAATAACTAATACAACAGTAATGAACACAATTTGCAAAGTTCCAAAATTCATTCATTTATTCATTCTTTCTTTCTTCCTTCTTTTTTCTCTCTCTTTTCCCTCCCTTCCTTCCTTCCTTCCTTCTTTCTTTTTCATCCTTTATGGCCTAGCTTATCTCTTTTAGATGATCTTTTTTCCAAAATCTCTCCTGTGCAGAAACTGTTGCTTCCTCTTCTGCTCTCTTATTCTGTTTAATTAATTACTGTATTTGCATGTATGTTTTTTTCTCTGCATACTAAATTCATTTAGAGGACAGAATTTGTAATTTATTTACCTTTGCAGGTGCACACAGTAGGTATACAGATATGTGTTGGTGGCTGCAAAGTGAATACAATCTGAATTCATAATGGCAGTGCTAAAGAGTGGCTTTAATATGTTTTAGCTACCTCCAATAGACATTCAACCTCAATAAAAATAGTGTCCTTGTGTTACACACAGAGCTTCAAGAAAAGTGTCCTAACACACACTTATACCAGAACTGTAATTCTTTATATACTCCGACCCCTGCACATGGAAAATCAATTGCTATCGCTTAAGTAGGCCCTGATTTTATAAAATATTGTTTTATAGGGGAATTACAATATTGTTCTGTAAATTTTGTTTTAAGAATAAAAAGATTTTTATACATTTAACCTTATAACTTGAT